CGGGGTGCCTGGGTGGCTTAGTGGGTCAAACCCTCTGCCTTGGGCTCGGGTCATGATCTCAGGGTCCTGGGATCGAGCCCCACATCAGGCTCTCTGCTCAGCAGGGAACCTGCTTCCTCCTCTTTCTCTGCCTACTTGTGATCTTTGTCTGTCAAATAAATAAACAAAATCTTTAAAAATATATTTTAAAAAAAAAAGAGTAATTCTCCTCCCATGGTAAGAGTATTTATAATAGAGTATAGCCTAGGTTACTCCTATACTTTTTTTTTTTTTTTTTTTTTAAAGATTTTCTTATTTGACAGCCACAAGCAGGGGAGCAGTAGGCAGAAGAAGCAAACTCCCCACTGAGCAGGGAGCCAGATGCAGGGCTCAATCCCATGACCTGAGCTGAAGGCAGATGCTCAGCCAACTGGGCCACCCTATTGATTTCTATTTTTTAAAATACGTCATATTTCAGTTGAATTTTAGGAGGAAGCTGTATTAAAGCATTTGTGGTACTCCTGTTTAATCAGAAGACCCTGAAGCATAATGTGTAATCGAAAAGAATCTACACATCTGATAGGGTAACTGATATGTAAAATATGGGAAACTTACTCAATGGCCTATCTTTAAGGATTCAAATATTTACATGAAAGTTTTTTTAAAAGAGCTGTGATGATCAGTTTTACAAAGCTGAATACTGATAATTATATAGGATTAGCTTAGTTGCATAAAAACAGTACATTAAAGAGAATACTCCAGATAAAGTCTAGGAGGTAGTAGAATTAGGGTTTTGATTTTTAGGACTTTTTAAAGTTTCCTGAATGAGCACATTTTTCACACACACACACACACACATACACATACACACACACACACACACACACACACACACACACACACACACACACATTTAAGAATGAAATAAGAAGGGGTGCCTGGGTGGCTCAGTGGGTTAAGCCTCTGCCTTCAGCTCAGGTCATGATCTCAGGGTCCTGGGATCCAGCCTTGCATGTGGAAAAAAAAATCTCTGCTCAGTGGGGAGCCTGCTTACCCCACCACCCTGCCTACTCGTGATCTGTGTGTGTCAAATAAACAAACAAAATCTTAAAAAAAAATAAATAAATAAGTACAGTGGATAGAAAACCCAAATTCTCAATCTGACAGTCAACGTCAGTTATCAGGTTACTTTTGGGCAAGTAAAGACCTCATTTTTTTTGGTTACCTGTAATTTGAAGGGCTGCAGAATTTTCAGACCAATTTTAGCAATTTTCAGGCCAAGACCCAAATTGGGAGAATTAAAGAATAAGGAAAAGGTTAAGGAAGCAAACTATTTAGGAAGCAGCATTTTGTTAAGTGTGGTAAGTGTGGTAGAAAGTACACAAAAGAGCAGAAAATAAAAGCATGAACAGTTTAATGGAAAAAGGCATTGGAAAAAAGAACTGTTAGATGACAAAAAAATCATCTAAGACCCATGGCTAGTAATAAAGAATATAATGAAGTATGTCTGGGAGGAGAAGCTCCTGACAGGCCCAGTGAAAAAAGTATTAACCTACTCAATTAAGTTGAGAGAGTTGGGGATAGAAGGTTAGAACAGCAACTTCAGCGCTTTAAAAGGATTACCATTTAGGGCCCAGGTTTTCGGTTGCACTCTCTACATGGGTGTCTTCTAACACTGCACTCCTTTCCCTTCCTATCTTGTCCTCCTCAGGTTTACAGTCTTCATCTTTCACTACATTTTGACTTTTCTTTCTTCCTTTCAGTCTCTCCCTTCTATCTTCTCCTTCTAATTATTACCCCAATCTAGATATAATTTCCTTGTTTCAGTTTACTTATTCCTTATCTCTACCTCAGTTCCAAAGCAATTTCTGCTCCAGTGAGTAGGTGCTGCTTACCTATACATATCCTGCCCCCAAAATCACCCTACTTTCTCAATGCTTTCATTCATGTAACCTCCCTCCCTCAACCTAATTCCACTGTAGATCTTCAACTTATAACAGTTACATATCAATAAAATAGTAAGCTGAATCATAAATTGAAAATACACTTAATATACCTAATACCACAGCTTAGCTTTAGCCTATTTAAAAATTTTTTTAAGACTTTATTTGAGTGAGCAAGAGAGAGATCACACAAGCAAGGGCAGAGGGAGAGGGAGAAGCCATCTCCCTGCTGGGCAGGGAGCCAGAGGCAGGTCTCAATCCCTACCCCGGGATCACAACCTGAGTGGAAGGCAGATGCTTAACCAACTGAGCCACCCTCCCAGGCACCCCATATTAGCCTATTTTATAATAAAGTGCTGAACACGTCATGTAATTTATCGAATACTGTACTGAAAGTAAAAAACAGGATAGCTACATGTGTACAGAATGGTTCTAACTGTATCATTATTTACCCCCATATCACGAGGCTAACTGGGAGCTACAGCTCACTCTTACTGCCCAGCATCACAAGAGGAGTATCATACTGCATACTACTAAACCAGGAAAAGATCATTATTCAAAATTTAAAGTATAGTTTCTAAAGAATGCATATTGCTTTCGCACCGTCGTAAGATTAAAAAAAAAAAATGTAAATTAACCCACTAAAAGTTAGGGACCATCTATCTATACTAAATGACGGTTAGGGATAAAAACAGGAAGTCAAAAGATACTACATATAATTGATGGAATAGAAATGTAATTAACATAGGTGTTACAAACAAAGCCCAGAGTTTTAGGTTACCTGAGGTAACCTAAAAAGGAAAACCAGAAATATTTAAAAGCTACTTTCTCAATGGATTATTACTATAGTAGGAAGATTATAGATTTTCCATTATGAACCCTTCACTGCTTCTGGTTGTTAAAAATGCATGTTTATAATTTGAAAACATATTTTTTTAAAAAGGAAAATCAACCATGCTAATAATCACCTCGGCAGACTATTGAATTTTTTTTTTTCTTCTGAGTTAGCTCTATGTCCAATGGGCTTGAACTCATGACCCCGAACGAGATTGAGAATCACATACTCTATCTATTGAGCCAGCTAGGTGCCCCACATTTGTTCCTTTATAAAAATTTTGCCTTTTGATTTTATCTCTATGTCATGACATCTTAGTAAAGTTAACCTGAAAGGAGCTACACCTCATATACACAGTATAACATTATTCAATTATGAACTGAAGTATCTATAATGGAATAAAAAATTAAGATAAAAATAATAAAACAAATGGAATAAAATGGTTTTTAGAGCCCATTAGATTTTGTGGTTTGAAAGATTATTCTCTATGGGCTCCATAAATCAAGAACACTATCTGTTCTATTATTACAACAGAAAATAGTATGTTTGGTGCATGTAGAGCAACTTTAACAGAAGTCATGGAACCTTAAATACAGTTGATCTAGTTTACCAAAACATTCTGTTCAATTCATACCATTGATTTCACTGGTTTGGGTACACTTTCCTTGAAGACCTTACTCCCACCTGAACTGGTTTTCCTTTTCATGCTTGCAAATGACCCCTTCATATTTCCTATTTTTAAGGAAAACAAGAATAGCATTAATATGTCTTAAAACACTACCAAGTTTAGTAGCCACATATAAATTAATATGATGGGGTTCCTACAACAAAAACAAAAAGGTATCCAAGTCATTTAATTTTCTATATAAAAAAAGAGCGAGCCTGGAAACTCCTTTTCCCTTAAAATTCTACAATTCTATAAATATGATTAGAAGACACCAGTGCAATGTCAATGCCATTACTCTTGTTCTTCAATATTGTTCAGGACACAAGGTCATTCATCTAACAATATAATGCAAATAACAATGTGCACAAAAAGGAATATATATTTCACATATTAAAAATGAACTGAGGAATAAACACAATAATTAAAGAGCTGTATGTTAGTTGTGTGAGTGAAGAAAAGGCCCTACTAGTTGCCTTTAAATCCAGTTAGGCATATTCTGTACATGCAGCAAAGCCTTTATGCTGGAAATGAGAAAGTATCAGGTATATTAACTCTGTAAGAAATAAAATATACTTTGGGTTTCTCAAATGTTGTCCAGTTTTATAGAATTTGTCTTATTTTACCTATGTGTATTTTTAAAAGGCTCTACAAATACTATATACTGACTAAACAGCTTGGTCTTCTTGACTTTGGTTCTGTATCTTATTAAAAGGTAATTTACAATAGGAAGATTAGAATAATACAGCTGTGCTTTAATGTCTTTTTACTGAAATTAAATGGGGAAAATGAACATTACAACATGAACACATGGATAGTGTATTACTGTGGGACATACTCCTAAAAGGCATTGGAGAATTCATGTTATTTTACTGAAAATCTTTAATTCTTTGACGATTGAAACAAAACATACACCAAGTGTTTACTACTCTTTAAATCTGACCATCCTTTTCCTAGGGTTTGGTATGAGAGCTCACTTGAATTCCATCTGTTATTCTTGACTTAATAGGTAAAGATCCAGCTTGCTCCATGAAAAGAACACTTCATACTGGTATTCCAGTCAGGAGCAGAAAAGTCATAGGTCTGCTGAAAGCTGGTTATGAATGCCCTAGAGACATAAAGTAACAATCAGTTTTGCCATGTGAAAAAATCAGTACAAATCTTAACCGATATAGCCTCTTATAATTATGAGGCAGGGAGTAATCCAAGGTTAGTAATGCAGGACTTTCTGAAACAATTCAAGAGTCTTTTCCATGGGAATAGTCACCCTCCTTTCCAGAATGATTTGTGCACATATATGAAAACAGGATAAACATTACTTTCAGTACCAATTCACTCTAGAGTACTTAGACTAAACTTAGCCAAATAATATTCTATTTTCAAATTAGTAACTTTAAAGTTTCAATGAATTTTAAAATTCAAAGATCCAATATAATTTATCCCATTTATCATCATATGCTCGTTACTATGAACTTTGTCTAGGAGACACATCTACTTGCTTCCTTCTCTTGCTCAAAGTAATGCTGAAGTTTAACCGCCTACCTAGATGTACCCAGAAAGAAGATATAAACCATTTTCGGGGAAAACATGCAGGCATTTATTTTTAAGAATTCCCAGTAAGGGGGGGAAAAAAAATTCAACATCTTTAAAAATGTGTTTATTTTTTAAAAAATCAGTTGTGTACAAAAGTGTTTCGTAGTTTTTAATTCTCAAGACAAATACCCAACCCTCCACCCATAGCCCACCCTGCTTCAATGGTCTTTCTGGTAACCCTCCCATTTTCCCCTTACAGGAAGTTAATGGCTCAGAATAGACCCTCCTACAGAATTTATCATCACTAACAGATTATTTAGAATAGAGATCTAGAGAAGCTAACAAGCAAGGTTCTTTCTCAGTGAGGTTAATGAGAATCCCTATAATGGCAGTAGACTTCCAGCAGACACCACAACAAAGCACCATCAATTGCTGAAAGCTAAAAAATAGATATTATTTTCAATAGTATTTCATTTTCTATTGGAAAAGTCTTTAAATTACATTAAATAAGTCTCTTTCCCCCCAAAGAAATAGTCTAGCTTTTATTATGATGCCTGTAAAAAGTAGGTAACAGCAAGCACACAAGGATCATTTAACAGCACAGTGCAATGATTTGTATTCACTCACCCCCTAGAACCAAACTGATAAACCGTGCCACACCTGATTATATATAGCAGCATGGTTGAAGTAACCAAGCAAAAGGTGACACATTCACAACTTATATTTAGGTGATGATCACAGGTTTATGAGGGTAGATCAGTCCAATAAAGCAGTTAACAGAATAAATGGGACAAGGGAGAGACTAACATTTCCCTATCCCTATGCCATGAGATTTTTGATCCATATTGCAACAGTGCAAATAGAACATGTGACATTATATGTTAGACACCGCAGAAAAGTAACATTTGGGAAAAAGGCTATTTATCAGTAAATACTCCAAGTTGCCTTCTTCCCCAGTGATAGCAAACAGCTGATGTTAAGCATTTATTTTAAACTGGTACTAAAGGAATGGAAATGCAAATTTTTTAAACCAATGGTTTGTACCCTGGAATTGAAATTTCTTGAATTAGAAAAAGTGATTAATACAACATCATTTTGTAAAAGTCCATGAAAGAAAGTTAACTGTAAACAGATGGCTTCCTTTATCATATCCAAACATTGTTTCCATCTATGTACAAGAAAGTATACCTGGCTCCAACCCTTCCCTGCCCGAACTCATCTTAAATCTTTAAAACAACAACAAAAATGTTTTATTTCCTGTGTTGCTACAAGTACTGTGGAAACATTATCATACCCCTACTGCAGAGTTTTAAAAGCTCAAATCAGGCATACACTTATAGCCAGGATCTGCTTTTCACATTGATAAACTTATTGATAAGCAACCTAAACAGTAACACAATATGCTGCATTCTGTAGTGCATAAATAAGCAATATCCATTTTAACTGCCAATTCTTTCTTACAGATACTTTAAAAAATTATTTTTGCATAGTTTTAAGCGCCACCAACAATCACAAATGTGAAATACCTCCAAAATGAAAAAAAAGTCTTACTTTCATTTCATAGATTACTCTCCTCAAAAGCAAAATACCCAGAATCCAAACATATATATACTTGAATGTTATTATGTATTTAAGTAAACCACAGTCACAATTCCAAATATTTTGGGGAGCTAACTCAGAGAATCTAATTAGTACAAAGTTCTCAAATATTGATATACCACCTACTGTATACTTACTTGGGTGACAAATCGCTATTCGTGCATTCAGTAATCTGTAGTGAAATACTATACAACTAAGTATTTGTCCTCTTAAAAGTTGGGCACATACCCAGGAAATAGACCCAATTATAATAAAAACCTACTGGAAATATCAGTGACCTCTAGCAAATCTGCCTGCCCTAATAAGATTTTCACATATATATATTCCATAATTTTTGAGGTCTTTACAACTGACAAATCACAAAAATTGAGAATTATAAAAATAATTTCCACCAGGGTACCTTTTCTCTAGACCTGCAGTTTTAGTGTCCTTTTCCCAAACCCATAAGACCAGAGAAAAAAAAGCAATTGTCTTAGTTTTTATGTTTGGGGAAATACATTTATCTGTAGAGAAGTAAAAAACAAGAAACAGGAGGACAGTGGGAAATGCACCAGAAAGGCAAGAGGGATTATCACATTTAATGTAAATGAGGTAAATAAATTGTTGAAATGAAAATGAATTATGGAGAACCTCTTATACCAAATATTGTACTTTTCAATTTCCTGGGCACTGAACATGTTGATTGCAGTTGGATGAGATTACCTATGGCATTAATGTGCATAAAAATCAAAGGCAAGGTATAAAGGTATAGCTGCCTCCAAGAGCTAAGTAGGTAATGTTTGACCTTAGTAACCTCTGAGTTTATTCTCTCTTTTGTCTAACCACAGGACAATTAAATATACCCTGATAATATAGGCAAATAGTAAATTGGGTAGATGTGTTTGATATTTAAAATAATCCAAGTATTACCAAGCCAACCCTCCACTTAAAAAAAAAAAAAAAAGAAAGAAAAAAAAAATCTAACCAACGGTGGAACAAAACTGTCCACATTTCACACAATCCCAACCTTACTTCAAAATATAAAGAAAAGTACAAGGTTTTAGCTATTTAAAATAAATAAAGAAAAAATCTTGTTTCCTTTGGCATCTTAGAAAGTAACTAAACTATAACAATTAAAAGAGGTGACAAAGAAATTTATGCTTAAGCAAATATATAGGGGAAAAAAACATAGCAACTTGTGTTTAGTATGCAATAATATTAACTACAAGAGCTTACTATTAATTAGGAAAGCCTTACAAGTTTTTGGAAGAACCTTCACATCTTTAACATTACAATATAGTTAATAATGGTTCTTTTATTGCTTCTAAGATTATTGAGAAGTCAAATGAAATTATACTGAATTTATGGTTCAAAACTATTTTCCAAACACTTAATGATTATAATTTAGGATAAATAACACTTGAAGAAAGCAAACCTTTTATAATATGACTTCCAATATACAGCCTTACTTTCATTCATTTTCATTCCATTCCATTTTTCTTATTTTGCATTGGTCCTGAAAATTTAATAAGAACTGTGTTTCTATGTATAGAACTGCCTGCATAAATCCATTTCAGCCTTCATAAAATGGTCACATTAGTGTTTGAGCTTGCAAAACTAACAATTTTCAAACTTTTGAACTTAGAATGAAATGTAACTTTAATACGAATAGAAAGTCTGACTATGTACAAGAAAAGGTAAAGTTTTCAATTCTCATATTATCAGAAACATCATAAAGAAAGCTAGATTTATAACACACTTCTATTCCTATGTGTATCTGAAGTATGTACAATAAAACACCACACAGCTTTCAGGCATCAACAGGGGCAAATGCAAGCAAGAGTGACTGGGAAAGGACCTGCTAAAGCAACCTCTATGAAGCCAAAATTAGTCTAAAAAACTGCCAACAGCTGATTGCATCCTTGCAAGTTCTCAAAGAAAATCTCATCAGTTTAAAAATAGAAAGACGTCAAATTCACTGAAAAACTAAGTTGGGTTCTTTCATCGAATCTGGGGAATACTGCAACATCAAGTATTTATTGTTTTTGCAAGAGGAACAAAATTGGCAGCTCCATTTTTACATTATTACTCACACAGGAAAGTTAAGAGTGAAGAACTATAACAAAACATTCCAAATTTACGACCTAAATATGGAGCAAGGGATATTGCCCCGAGGCACATTTCTCCACCAAAGAGAGAAATTTACTACTGGAATATTCGCTGTGTGTGGTGAGGGGGGAAAAATAGATATGGTGTCCCAGTCTGCTGACAAGGACAAAAAGGCTCTGAATAGGTCACCATCTTCAATTCTGGATAAATCTCATATTTAATAATTCTCAAATGCTTAAAATGGTGGTCTTTTCAGCTACCCATTCTAAGAAGTCAAGTACAAGCATGCAAGTAAATTCACAGGCACAGAGGATCCATGTTAAAAACAGTTAAGGTAGCTGTGATGCAAACACCAACAATTTGAATGGCCCTGACACACTCAAAATATTATCTTAATTATTCAACGAAATCCTGAAGCAAACTCTTGCTAGTCTTGGTACACTGCTAAACACTAAAGTAGCATGTTTTTTCCATGGTTTTAGCTTAGCTCAAAGAATTTTTACACTATTAAGAAAAAAATTAAAGTATTTCCCCTTTTTAAATTTACACAGACGTTTAATTAGCTTTATTTACAGAGCAGGGATTTTTTTCAGTCTCCAATGTTGCCTAGATAACATCATTAGGCAAGAATGCCAGTTTAAAAGAAATCTATGCAGAATCCTAAAAATAACAGATGTTGATGCTCCTCAAGAAGGGGCAAGCTTGACTATATCAGCAGCTTTCTCTATGCCTCAGTTACTCAGAAGCAATTCTGTTGCAGTCTCTACATCCCATGATTTTGAAGACAAGGCCACTATTACCGCATTCTGTAGAGAAGAAAAGGGAACAACAACAAAAAAATCAAATCTCAAAATATTTTTAAAATACTGAATCATAACTATATATTGACAAAGCACACCTTGTTTTCTTTTTTTTAAAGTTGCCTTGTATTTGTAGTGCATAAAAAGCTTCTAACCAATGACTGGAATTAGCAAAAGGAGAAGAAAAAAATCACTGATTGTAATAACAGAATAAAGTTTAACAAAATTAGATTCAGAGTATCTTTGAACCACTTTCGTCAGCCAAGGATTTGCAGCAATAATTTTAAATCAATCAATGTATCAAAATAAGCAAGCCTTTTGGTACTTACCCTATCAAAGCCCATAGCACATAGGTTTTCTATTTTTTTGGTGTATTCTGGACTAGAAACTGGTGCTCCAGCATACACATGTGCCCAAAGTCGAGCTGTCTGTTTGAACATTTCGGGATTTTGTTTGTACTATAATGAAGAAAAACATTGAAAGACATGAAAATGCAGTCACAATATTCAATACTTAATTACCTAAGAACTGGTTTTTCTAAGTAAAAGTAATTCACATTTAAAATGTGATTGATTCGGGGCGCCTGGGTGGCTCAGTGGGTTAAAGCCTCTGCTTTCGGCTCAGGTCATGATCCCAGGGTCCTGGGATCGAGCCCCGCCCGCATCTGGCTCTCTGCTCAGCAGGGAGCCTGCTTCCTCCTCTCTCTCTGCCTGCCTCTGCATACTTGTGATCTCTGTCTGTCAAATAAATAAATAAAATCTTAAAAAAAAAAAAAATGTGATTGATTCAACAACTTTCTGTTGCAAATGAGGTCACTCAAGAAAAGAAGTCTGACCTGAAGCTGTGATTCACAAGTGCTGACCAAGGAAAAAAAAAAAAACCAATTATATTTATCAACTTAAATCTCCAATTTCAAGAGATACAAATAACAGAAAGCGAAAGGAAGTGAAGTGAGGTGCAGACATGTCTCCAAACTGCAGTGTCAAACACTATACAACCAAACTGAATCATTTGCTTCTAAAACTGGACATTAACTAACAAATGTGACTGACTTTTGTATTAACCACAGCTCAGAAAAAAATACAACTAGACTCTGCTGTTTTGTGTATTAGTATGCAATGATTTAAGGAAATACCATGTGCAAAGTCTTTTTTTAAAAAGATTTTATTTTGGGGACACCTGGCTGGCTCAGTTGGTACAGCATGCATCTCTTGTTCTCGGTGTTGTCAGTTCAGGCCCCATGATGCGCATGGAGCCTACTTAGAGGAAAAAAAAGATTTTTAAGTAATCTCTACACCTGTCATGGGGCTCAAACTTACAACCCTAAGATTAAAATTCACGTGCTCCATTAACTGAGCCAGCCAGATGTCTTGATATGCAATCTTTATAGCATGTTTTGAGATGTTTATGAACTCACGATACAGTACTTTTAAAAGGTAAAACTTCCCATTCTTATTAGAAGAGATAAATTTATTCTTAAATACTCTGGAACCAACATTACTTAACTAAGTATAAATTTAAAATAACTGTCCAATTCACTTTAATATTTCTTTTAAAAGTATTTTACATGTATTGACTATTTTAAGACTGATCAGCTTCTATTATATATTAAAATGAAAAATCTAGTTTCTACCTTGTTAATTCCTAACGAGGAAGTAAGTCAAATTATTGAACTGTTTTAGTAGCTAGAGGAAAGTTCTAAATGCAACTTCAGCCTTTAAGGCTCAGAACTCCACAGGAAATCAAAGCTGAGATTCAAGCCATGCCTCTGACTACCAAAAGCAAATGAACAGCACATACATACAGCATGTAAAACCCTAATTCTAAGCACACTGAGACAAACAACAGTAGAATGTATTAACGAAGATATATATAAAATAAGGAGTGAACAGCTTTTCAAGGGAAAGGAATAGGTTTACTAAGAGGAACAGGCAGAGGAAAATGGCAGACTGGGTGAAATGACCAGCAGAAATGAATACCATCTTGAGAAAGCAGAAGTCCAAGGAACAGTAAGAATTTATGAGATGAAGCTGGGTTTTGAAGACAGTTCAAATCATGGAAAGACTCTGCAAACTAAAGAATGTGGATTTCCAAGTAGGTGACAGCAGAGCTTCTAATAGGTTTTTAGTAGTAAAGTAAAGTAAGATTTGTACTTTAAAAAGCTCACTGGCAACAATGTAGAAGACAGGATGAGGAAGAGGCCAAGGAAGGCACAGCTATCAGAGCAATTAAATAAGAAAAATTTTTAACTTTATTTACTTACTTATTTGAGAGAGAGAGAGAGAGAGAGAGAGAAGCAGACTCCCAACTGAACAGAGAGGCTGTTGTGAGACTCCATCCCAGGACCCTGAGATTATAACCTGATCCAAAGGCAGACATTTAAACAACTAGGCCACGCCGGTGCCTGAGAAGTTTTTTTAAAATGTGAACTAAGGCAAATCAGAGAAGTATGATGACAGAGATACTGGGAATAGAATCATCAAGAGAAAAGGAGGCACAGGGTATTCCAAGTCTGTGGCTTAGATATTTAATTAAGCTGATGATGGTATCAAACAAGGATGGACAAGTTCGCAGGATTTAAGATTCTATGTTCAGTATGGGAATGCTGTACTGAGGTAGCCATGAAACATTCATATAGAACTATCCAGTTCTGAATAGGCTCTTGCACTCAGGGAGAGGTCAAGCCTAAACATTTTCTCAACTGTCAGGTGATAGTATCAGTCTGGGTATGATCATCCAAGTGACTATGCAACGGAAAATAAAAGGAACAATGTCTAAACCAAGGTACTATATTTAAAAGGAGAAAGAAGAGAAATAATTGTAGGAACTAAGAAGAAACAACTACAACTACCAAGATGAGAAGAGAGTAGTAACTCAGAAGTCAAGAGAAGAAAAAAATTTTAGGTGGAGGGGCGAAAAAAAGTCTCAGTAAATCCTAATGGCTTAGAATAGGGATGGGCAAACTTTCTCACAGGACCAGATAATAACTACCTTAAGCTTTTAGATAATACTGATTTTGTTGCAACTACTCAACCCTGCCACTTGTGGCTGGGAGGTAAACAAATGAATGTGGCTGTATTCCAATAAAACATTATTTACAAAAATAGCCACTCTAGTTCTAATTTGCTGACCTCTGCCTTGGAGATCAGATCAGAACTGAAAGATCAGAACTGAAAAATATTTATTCCATTTGGCAATTATAATAAGATCCTTGGTAACTTTTACCGTGCCACTTCAGCCATAGCAGGAGCTGGTTAAAATTATCATCAGGTCAGGGAGAACAAGGAGCAAATGTTTTACAACCTGAACCTCAGAATTGTGATCCTCCAAGGAGAGTTCTACTTGAAGAAAAACCATTAAATGGCTTCTCAGGGATTTTGTTTTTTGTGCACATAAAAGCCATAGTTCCAGTAGAGTGTTTTGAGCACCCAGATTTCAGTTCTCTTAAATGTGAAAGAGGATCAAGTGACCGTTCACTGCTGTTCTGTAACTAGTGTAAAATATGTACACGTTTATCTCTATTTTTATAACATAGAAATACATTTGAATTTATGCAATTACAAAAAATTTTCACCAGGGAGGGATTATCACTAAATGGAGGGAAAGACAGATGGATACACGTATGATAAAGCATGTATACTAAAATGTCAATCACAGAATCTAGATGTAGGTAGGAATATCAGTGTTCACTGCATAATCTTCTGACATTGTGCGTCTGAAAATTTCCATTAATATTTTTTAAAAAAGCATCTATCACATATCCAATTAATATAATAAAAATAAAGTTTTCACTATTACATCTCACAAAATAATCTCACCACAAGAAAGAAAGCCACCTCCAGATTTAGTTCCACAGAACTACGCACATGTGTTAATACTACAGACCATTACAGTAGTAGAGACTCAAAGGTAAATATAAGGAAGTCTTTCAAAAGCAGCTACCTTACCTGATTTGCTACTACTGCATCTTGTGGATCATCTGGTTCTGCAGCTGCCAAAAGGGCTTGCAATGACAATAATACCGTGCGGAGAGTCATCGCGGCTGCCCTGAAAATCAAAACAGGAAAATATCGCAGTTAAGAACATGCTGCATGACAAAAGCAAAGTGGATGTTTTCTGAATAAAATATAAAAACCAGTGGAGCTAAAAATAATCTGTATTTTATCTTAATCATGTAATTTACAGAAATTTACATATCTGCCTATCACATTTTTCTCTTTTTACTTTACAAAATGAAAGATGAGCTTTCCATTTTTTAAGACAAGTCAAACCATTCTGGGCTGGACTTGCTTTTCTTATTGTTGCCAATATCCTTCTGGTCAGCTTTACTCACTGACTTAAATTTTTATCCATTTCTCTAGACATAAAGTTAAGGTGATAAACTAGTATATTTAGCTTACTTTCAGTGCCACTCATAAAATATCAGGGGCGCCTGGGTGGCTCAGTGGGTTAAAGCCTCTGCCTTCGGCTCAGGTCATGATTTCAGGGTCCTAGGATCGAGCCCCACATCGGGCTCTCTGCTGAGCAGGGAGACTGTTTCCTCCTCTCTCTCTCTCTGCCTGCCTCTCTGCCTGCTTGTGATTTCTCTCTCTGTGTGTTAAATAAATAAAATCTTAAAAAAAAAAAAAATAAAATATCAAGCAATTATCCCTTACTTTGAAGCAAGTGTGATATCATTCCACAACATTCTGAACTAGACCAAGTTATTTGCTTAAAATGTATCACCTAATTCACACATGTATATAACACAAAAATTTACGCAAAAGCTTCATGACATTGGAGTTGACAATGATTTCTTGGATAGGACATCAAAAGCACAGGCAACAACAGAAAAAATAGAGAAAGTGGTCCAACTACATCAAAGTTAACTGTGTAGAGAGAAAAACCTCCTTTGTAAAGGATAAAAACAATAGAGTGAAAGGCAATCCAAAGAATTGGATAAAATATTTGCAAATCATGTATCTGATAAAGGGTTAATGTCTGGAATATATAAAGAACTCCTGTAACTCAACAACAAAAACCCAATTAAAAAATAAGAAGGGACTTAAAAATTTCTCCACTGAAGATATATAAATATCTGATAAGCCCATGAAAAGATGCCTAATATCACTAATCATTAGAAAAAGAAATCAACAAGATACTACCTCACATCCATTAGAATGGCTACTATCAAACAAAACAAAACAAAGACAAAAGTTGCTGGTGAAGATGTGGAGTCATTGGAACCCTTATGCCCAGCTGGTGGGAATGCAAAATGGAACAACAATTACAGCAATTTGGCAATTTTTTTTTTTTTTTAAGATTTTATTTATTTGACACAGAAAGAGAGAGAGAGAGAGAGAGAAAGACAGCGAGAGAGGGTATACAAGCTGGGGGAGTGGAAGAGGGAGAAGCAGGCTTCCCACCGAGCAGGGAGCCCGATGCAGGGCTTGATCCCAGGCATGACATGAGCTGAAGACAGATGCCAGCTGAGCCCTCAGGCACCCCCAGTATAGCAATTCTTCAAAAAAATTAAACACAGAATTACCATATGATTTAACAATTCCACTTGTAGGTTCATATCCAAAATAAATGAAAGCAGGGACGCAGATATTTGTACACCCATGTTCATAACAAGCATTAATCTCAATAGCCAGAAGGTGGAAGTAACTCATTTCCATCAAGCCATGAATAAATAAAATGTGGTGTATATATATATACACACTGGAATAGTATTCAGCCTTAAAAAGAAAGACAAATCAGACACCTGTTACAACATGGATGAATCTTTTTTTTTTTTTTCCCTTTTGGTAAGATTTATTTATTTGACAGACACAGCGAGAGAGGGAACACAAGCAGGGGGAGTTTGAGAGGGAGAAGCAAGCCTCCCACTGAGCAGGAAGCCCAATGTGGGGCTTGATCCCAAGACCCTGGGATCATGACCTGAGCTGAAGGCAGATGCTTAACAACTGAGCCACCCAGGCGCCCCAACATGGATGAATCTTGACATTATGTTAAGTGAAGCCAGGAATAAAAAGACAAAGTATGATTCATGAGGTACTTAGAAAAGCCAAATTCAGAGACAGAAAGTAGAATGGTGACTGTCATTGCTAGAAGGGTAAGAGGAATGGGAAGTTATTATTTAATAAGTATGGTTTCAGTTTTGAAAGATGAAAAAGTGGGAAGGGGTAGGAAAGAAGGATGAAGAGTGAGGGCTCAGAGGACTTTTAGGGGGGTGAAAATACTCTGTATACCATAATGATGGATACATGTCATTACACACTTGTTCAAATGCATAGAATGGACAACACCAAGAGTGAACCATAAGAAAAACTAAGTACTTCGGGTGATTGAGATAGGTCAATGCAGGTTCCTCGGGTGTAACTAATGTACCATTCTGATAGAGGATGCTGATAATGGGGGAGGCTATGTGTGCAGGGGAGGGAGTATATAGGAAATTTTTGTACCTTCCTCCCAATTTTGCTATGAATGTAGAACTGCTCTAAAAAAAAAATGTCCCGGAGACTGGTAGCATAATGATGTGAATATACTTAACAATACTCATCTATACACTTACTTGAAACAGTGAAGATGTCCATGTTATATGTCAATTAAAAAAACCAAGATGATAAATTTTATGTTATATATATTTTAAAAAATAAAAAATTTTTATTTTTATTATTTTTTGAAGATTTATTTGTTTATTTGCCAGAGAGCGAGCGCATGCACGAGCACGCATGAGAGCACAAGCAGGGAGAGGGCAGCCAGAGGGAGAAGCAGGCTCCCCACTGAGCAAGGAATCCAATGCAGGACTCCTGGGATCAGGACCAGAGCCAAAGGCAGATGCTTATCTGACTGAGCCACCCAGGCATCCTTAAAAACTTTTCTTAAAGTGAGAAGCTCTTCCCTTAGAGATTTGTGAGTTTGTATTACAAATACTTCCTACTTCTTTTATTGACAGTTACCTTTTATTTAGTTTATTTTATTTACAGTCTTTACTGGGAGGACACAAACTATTATAGACCTCTGGACTTACAACTTCAAAAATCAGAAACTAAGGTAATAAAGATGAACATGTTGAAAGGGACAGTTTGCTCTCAATATGAAAGGAAAAATCTTAGATTTGATTCTTAACAATCTCAATGAGAAAAAGGTATGTTTTCTGTATGCTTCAAATTTTTCATAATGAAATACTGGGGGAGGTATTTATAAACCATCAAGAATTAGTTGACTAAAAAGAAATCTAAATGACACCTGAAACTAATATTGTAAATCAACTATACCTCAATAAAAAAAAAGGGGGGGGGCCTGGGTGGCTCAGTTGTTAAGCGTTATCCTTCAGCTCAAGTCAGGATCCCAGGGTCCAGGGACTGGGCTCCACATCAGGCTCCCTGTTTGGCAGGAAGCCTGCTTCTCCCTCTCCCACTCCCCCTGCTTGTTTTCCCTCTCTTGCTGTCTCTGTCAAAAAATATATTAAAATCCTCAAAAGAATACATAAATATAAATAAAATTAAAAAAAAAAAAACAACTAAGAACTGGGATGCCTGGGTGGCTCAGTTGGTTAAGCAGCTGCCTTCGGCTCAGGTCAGGATCCCAGCCTTCTGGGATCGAGTCCCACATCGGGCTCCTTGCTCAGCAGGGAGCCTGCTTCTCCCTCTGACTCTGCCTGCCACTCTGCCTGCCTGTGCTCACTCTCGCTCTCTCTGACAAATAAATAAATAAAATCTTAAAATAAATAAATAAATAAATAAATAAATAAATAAATAAATGAACGAATGAACTGATTTAGATGGTTAAGTGTCTGACTCTTGATTTGGACTCAGGTCATGATCTCAGGGTTATGAGACCCAGCCTCACATTGAGCTCCATGCTGGATGTGGAGTCTGCATAAAATTCTCTCCCGCTCTGCACCCCCAGCTTAAAAAACAAAACAGAAAGAGTGAGTGCAGGTAAAAATGAGGGAATGGTTTTAATAATAAAATGAATGAATAAATAAATATTTTAAAATGGTAGAGAGAAAAAAAACCCCTAAATGCAAAGTTTTAAGCTGGACAAAAAAATTAATGGTAAACAATGACATTATTTTTATCATCAGTTGTAATAAAATTATTATTAAAACAAAACTCAGTCTTCTGACTCTACATACTATAGAAATTATAACATCTTTGATAGTGTAAAGAAATGTATATGTTTTAGGGGGCACCTGGGTGGCTAAGTTAGTTAAGCGGCTGCCTTCGGCTCAGGTCATGATCCCAGGGTCCTGGAATGAAGCCCTGACTCAAGCTCCTTGCTCAGCAGGGAGCCTGCTTCACCCCGCTTTCCCACCCACTATGCTCTCTCTCTCAAATAAATACAATCTTTTAAAAAAAAATTTTTTAAATGTGAATGTTGACTGATCTACGTTAATTTTTAAACCTAAATTTAGTAATGTGAGAAAGTACACAGTAGAAATCCAATCTCTCATTCTATTTATTGTTCCTTTTACATAGTACTGACTAAATTCATAATGCACTAAGATTTTTTTAGGATTCCATGTGTAAAAAACAAATCCTAACAGGTAAACAGGAATATGGAATTTCAAAATGTGTCAGCTAATTTTAATGTCAATGGATGATGTACCTTACAAATCTTCAGTAAATTAGTTTTGCCAAGACCTCAATAAACACAGTTAAAATGGCTAATTAAATATTCATGCATACAGACTCAGTAGAGCCTCCAAAACATACAGCAGCTATATGAACGGTCAATACTGTTGATTTTCTGTTAAGGATCTTCAGAAGACCATCCATATAATTGATGTTTATTCAAAACACTGCTACTTAAAAGAGTACGGCAGCTTTTTTGTTATAACTTTTTATTAAAGCATAACAAACAGAGTTAAATGCTATACATCTGGATGATTTTTTATATATGTATACACCCATGTAACCATCACATAGATCAAAATATAGAGAATTTTCAGCACTCAAAAAAAAAAAACCTCACTCTTGCATTCCCTTTCACAAAACCCTCATCCACCCCCACCACTATCCTAATTTCTATCACCATAAATAGTTTTGGCTCATTTTGAATTTTATAAAAACAGAATCATACAGTATGTGCTCCTTTGTGTCTGGCTTTGGTCACTTAATATGTCTGTGAGAGAATTAGCCATGTTGTTTGTGTCAATATGCTTTTTTAAAAACTACTATTGCAGTGTTTCACTGGACAATTATTCCATTATATATCCATTTTCTTATTGACAGGTATATGGGCTATTGAATAAACATGCTACAAATATTCTCGAACAAGTCTTTTGATGGACATATGTATTCATTTCTCTTGGATATAGACCTAGGAGTGGAACTGCTGGGCCATATCAAAGATGTATGTTTAGCTCTGGTAGATACTGCTGGCTGAGTAGTTGAACCACATTCCTACCATCAATGCATGAGAACTATTTGTAAGTATGTAGTAGTATCTAATTGTAATTTTAATTTGCACCTCCCTAATGACTAATGATGCTGAACATTGCTTATTAACCGTCTAGGTATTCTCTTAATCCCTGTTCATGTCTTTTAGAAGGACAGTATCACTGAGTGCACTTTTTTTTTTTTAAAGGTTTTATTTACTTATTTGACAAGAGAGACAGCGAAAAGGAATACAAGCAGGGGGAGTGGGAGAGGGAGAACCAGGCTCCCCACTGAGCAGGTAGCCCGACGCGGGGCTCCATCCCTGGACCCCGGGATCATGACCCAAGCCGAAGGCCAGATGCTTAATGAACAAGCCACCCAGGTGCCCCCTGAGTGCAATATTTATGTGTAGTCATTTTCTTCTATTTCCTCAGGTAAACAGACACCTGCAGTCATAATAGGTGTCAGTGGAAAAACATCAGAAGATAGTTTCCACACAGAACACATTGTGGAGTTAATAAACCATACTAACAAAAAGCTGTTAAATATTAAAGGTAACTTGCTGTATATATTCACAAAAGACCAAAACAGTTTTCTAGCACACCTATCTCAAATTATTCAATGTTTAGTCAATTTATTTTTCTGAGGATTACTAACCTTTAGTTTTCTTTACCAAATTCCAGGTCTGAAGCCTAAAAACATGAATATCCACTGACTGTCAACTATACCTCAATAAATCGGGGAGAGGGGCTTAGGATATCCATGTATATCTCATCTCACTTATTTTTTTAAAAGACTTTATCTCTTTGAGAGAGAGAGTGCATCAGAGAGAGCACAAGCAGAGGGGAGAGAGACCGAGGGAAAGGGAGAAGCAGACTCCCCCACTGAGCAAGAAGCCCCACGTGGGACTCAATCCCAGGACCCTGGGATCATGACCTGAGGTGAAGGTAGACACTTAACTGACTGAGCCACCCAGGTGCCCCTGCCTTTGACATTTTAAAATATTTCAATTATTTTAAAATTCAGCTATTTCACATCTGCCTAATAGAACAGTTGACAAAAAGTGTTTCAGTACAACAGTACCAAGTTCTCTGTCCACATATACACCATAATCTTTCAACTTCAGAAGAGATAATCAGAAGTGGTAGTACTGCTAGCTTAACTGAACAAAAAGGGGAGTCAGTGGGAAATTTTAGTCTGGAGCTGTATTTGTTTTTGAAAAGGGATGTGGGGAGGGGGGAGCAGGGAAAAGAGTATCACTCTGAGAACTGCTGAGTAGGGCAAATTCAGAAGCAGGGAGGTTAAAGAGGTAATGTGACTTGGGCGAGGTGAAACTGCTAAGATTTTGGAAGTTTCACCAATAAAATTTGCAAATGGGGTACAGGGTACCAGAGACACAAGAACCAAGGATCATGATGAAGCTTTGACCAAAGCAACTCCAACAATGTAGTTGCCAGTAACTTAAATGGAGTGATGCAGGTTTTGGGTTAGGGAGTATATCAGTTGAGTTTTCAACATGTTTTAAGTTTGAGATGTCTACTACATACATACTGAAGTACAGATGTTAAAAGCAGGTAGCAGCATATGAGTGTGGAGTCCAAGGACGATAGATTTATGAGTTGCTGGTATTTAAAAAGTGAAGTTCTAAAATCAGATAAGCATACCAGAGAAGTGACTATACATGAAAAGTAGCAGAAGTAAAGACTTAGCCCCAAGATACTCTCCTAGAAACAAGGGAGGAACTAGTTAAGAAACCTGGGAATGCGCACAAGAAAGGGGAGAAGCGAGGAACCCGGAAACCAAGTGAAAGAAGTACAATGTCTGCAAATATTTATTAGTATCACTGAATGTTCTAACTATTATAAGGGGCCTTTGAGATGACTTTTTATGGATAAAAACACTGAGACCTCCAAATTATGAAAGGTCACAAGTTAAAAATGACAGAATAAAATTAGTTCTATTTCATACCATTCAATGTTTAAGGGTATGGAATACAGATCAAGAAACTAGACCCCAAGAGATGCACCAAGGGAGGAGGCTTTACTCAGATGTGCTATTAGAATGGAAAAGCAAAACCAAACCAACAATTCTTGTCTGTTTATCCAATTACTAAATAAACCAAATTCCCCAAATAGTAAATGTTGTCATTTGTTTCACCTTGTTCAGGTTCCATTCTTTCCCTCTCTTAACAAATCAAACACATAGCTTATTACTGTTTTCACCCACTCTGACATCTTTTTTATATACCTCTTGTCTTAGTTTCTCTTCCATTCATATTGCTAGAATATGGCAGGCTGTAATCTAAGAAAATTACATAAAACAATTAATTTAATCCTTTTAATAGCCCTATGAAGTAGGTATTAACCCCATCTTGTGAGATGAGGACAACTAAGGCACAAAGGTTAGGTAATTTGCTCAAGACCACAGTTTAGTAAATGGCAGAGTCATGATTTGAACTAACTCTTAAACACTGCTGCTGCTAAAATCAAATCAGACAAAACATGTGAAAGCACTATAAAGTGCTATGCAAATGAAGATTATCACTTATAAAGGTATTCCTTTCTTTGAATCTGAGAACCTTAACTAAGCTCACTTAACACAATTTTTAACATTTTTGTTGCCTACATTCCACCCAAATCAGAGCTGATTACTTTAATACTTATTTTTCTAGTCTTTTACAGTTATCTTTGAGAGACAGGAAAGAACCAAATTTACCAAAATAAATGAAATCAAGACTTTTCAAGATGTAAAGCTAACTTTGACATAACCTAATAAGTCACTATTTTTTTTTTTTTAAAGATTTTTATTTATTTTCTTGAGAGTGAAAGCAATCACAGAGGCAGAGGGAGAAGCAGACACCCCACTGAGCAGAAAGCCTGATGCAGGGCTCGATCCAAGGACCCTGAGATCATGACCTAAGCAGAAGGCAGACACTTAACAGACTGAGTCACCCTGGAGCCCCATAAGTCACTATTTAAATAATGATTGTGATCTCAATTCTAACATACATTTTTTTTAAAAAAGATTTATTTTACAGAGGTGGTGGCAGGGGCAAAGGGAGAGGCAGAGAGAACCTCAAGCAGACTCCACATTTAGCGCAGTGCTGATGTGGGGCTCAATCAAGCTCATGACCTGAGCTGAAACCAAGAGTCAGATGTTTAACCAACTGCAACACCCAGACACCCCAACACATTTTTGATCATGTACTTGAGACTTCATAAAGTTTTAAATTACAGCCCAAATAAGAGAAAGTATAATATATGCTCATGTTTTGAGGCAATTACATGTTTAGCACTCTAAGCATAGCCTTGGAATTCATTGAGAGGGAAGAAAGTGAATTCAAAATCTCTTACCATTGATCTTTCAGGATATCCAAACAAATAGCCCCTGTGACGGAACTAATATTAGGATGCCATATTTTAGTGATAAACCGGACCTAGAATATAAAGCACACTTGAGTTTTTAAGTAACAGAAATAAAACTCATATAGTTCAAGTATAACTACAAGAAAATGAAATCCTCAGATTAAAATAAAAAGTCCATACTTACATTACCATCATTTTGCCTAGCTGAAGGGAAGGTGTGAAAGATAAAGCATTCAGTAAGCTGAATGCTGTCACTGACATACATTTTTAAAAAACTTTTTAATAAATGTTCCGCCCCTAAAGAAATCCAATAATTACCAGGTGTTTACAATTTACCTACAATAATAGTCCATGCTATGACAATTACAACACAGACTAAAATCTAGTTAGGTAAAGTAACATAAAATAAAAATTAATACAGATAGCGAATGGCAATTTATTCAGTGTCAAGTAGGATGCAGGACAGCTTTGAAGGACAAAGTAAACAAAATCAGTATATGGAAGCATTTTAGTAGTAAATGGCTGGCTCCTAAATTTTCTGTAGAAATTGTTTTCTCAGACTTAAAAAAAAAAAATTCAACATATATTTGAAAGACAATGGCACTCAAGAGACATTGAGGCTTAGAGTTTAAGAAATTTATCCAAAAATCCAGTAACAAGTTAGCAACAGAACAATACACGAACTTACACAACCTCATTTCAGATTCTGAGTCTCTAATCACCTCATTATTTGTCTTAGGATGGATAAGAAACGAACAAAATGAAAATACTGACTCTAACAGATCACCATGAAATGAAATCTGGTTCATCAGATCTTACTTACGAGCTTCTGAAGGACCAAATATTACTATTTTGTGTGTGTGGGGGGGGACCTATTGTTATTTTATCTGACACATATATAATAATCACCTAAGTCAAAACTCCTTTATACTTAACACATTAAGTACTGTAAGTTAAGCAATGGTTTTTTTGTTTTTGTTTTTTGTTTTTTTTTTTTTAAAGTAGGATCCATGTCCAGAGTGGAGCCCACGTGGCACTGAACTCACCACCCTGAGATTAAGATCTGAGCCAATATTAAGAGTCTGATATTTAACCAACTGAGCCACCCAGGTGCCCCAAGCCAAACAATAAGTACTCTACAAAAACTGACTCATTAATATGTGCTCTAAATCTAAGCTATTTATGGAAAGCAGCTAAGCAGACAGCTTCCACTTCTCTCTTTGTGATGGGATTTGTCATACTACCTGTAAATCACTTCTTCACCTAATTACACACTAAATTATATGCTAAAAAAGAACTTCAAATTACCAATGACTTCAAAACACCTAAAACTAATGGAATCTATCCATGCCTTGATCCTTTTTAATTCTTGCTTACAAGAGTAAACACAAAGGTATCTACTCTCAATCCACAGCATCACCAACTCGTTAAACAAGACCATCATCCTACACTTGGGTTACTAAAACAATCCACTGACTTTAATAACTTCATTTTGGTTCCTTTCGATCCATTCTCTACACTGAAATAAAGAGTGCCCTTTAAAACAACTGATTCACTACTCTACTTAAGGCCCTTTAATGACTTCTCATTCCCTTTATGTAAGTCTGCACTACTGAACTGTCCCAGCCCATCTCCCACATCATCTTAAAAAAAAAAAAGAAAGAAAAATTTTTCTCCCTTGGGCCTTTTTTTAAAAGATTTTATTTATTTATTTGACAGAGAGAAAGAGAGATCACAAGTAGGCAGAGAAGCAGGCAGAGGGAGAGGGGGAAGCAGGCTCCCTGCTGAGCAGAGAGCCCAATGCAGCTCAATCACAGAGCCCTAGGATCACCACCTGAGCCAAGACAGAGGCTTAACCCACTGAGCCACCCAGGCGCCCCTCCCTTGGGCCTTTCATACCTGTTTCTTCTCTTAGTAACACATGTTGATGCCCTCTTCTCCTGGCTAATTCCTACTTAATTCTTTAAGTCTTAGTTCCCATACCACTTCTTCCTGATCCTGTTCTCACAGCACCCTGTATGTTCCTATTTCATCATACTGACCACACTTCTATAATTTCTTCCTTCTCTGTCTGGCCTTCCCTAAAAGGCTCAGTATCTATCTTACCAGAGCACCCCAAGTACCTGAAATGTCTCACACTGAATGAATATGCAATTAACATCATGACAAACCTATTCTTAGACCTAACCAGCATCCCTCTGAAATACAAAGCTGGTCAAAGAAGACAGGCATACCAGGCTTATGTACAACAAACATTTCTTCCTAATAGATAAAACCATGATATTCTTATCATATTTTCTACCACTGAATGAATTTGAAGTATAAAGATACAAAATAACCATATGCCATAATTTCAGTAACTCAAGGACATTACAGCATTTTGATTTTAAAACAAAAATTTGTTCTATCTGGAATGCCTGGGTAGCTTAGTTGGTTAAGCATCTGCCTTTGGCTCAGGTCATGATCCCAGGGTCCTGGGATCAAGCCCCACATCGGGCTCCCTGCTCAGTGGGGAGTCTGATTCTCCCTCTTCCTCCCTCGCCCCCAAACCATTTGTGTGCTCTCTCTGACTCTCACTCAAATAAATAAAATCTTTAAAAAAAAAAAAATTGGTCCAATCTTTTCAACACTGGAAAAAGATTTTTATTTCCTTTTTTAAAAAGATTTTATTATTATTATTAATTATTATTTTAAAGATTTTATTTATTTATATGACAGAGAGAGAGATCATAAGCAGGCAGAGAGGCAGGCAGAGAGGGGGAAGCAGACTCCCTGCTGAGCAGAGAGCCCCATGCGGAACTCCATCCCAGGACCCTGAGATCATGACCTGAGCCGAAGGCAGAGGTTTAACCCACTGACCACCCAGGCACCCCTCTTTTCCCTTTTTTAAGAAAATATGTAAATACAAACAAATATTTATAAAATAAAAATTTTCATAAAAATATTTTAAAAATTAAAAATATTAAACATCTTATACAGAAACAAAAATCCTTTTTTAAGAAGATTTTATTTATTTGGGGCACTGGGTGGCTCAGTGGGTTAAAGCCTCTGCCTTCGGCTCAGGTCATGATCTCAGGGTCCTGGGATCCAGCCCCGCATCGGGCTCTCCGCTCGGCAGGGAGCCTGCACAACCCCCCCCCCCCACCTCTGCCTGCCTCTCTGCCTACCCTGTGATCTCTGTCAAAGAAATAAATAAAATCTTAAAAAATAAAATAATTGGTCCAATCTTTTCAACACTGGAAAAAGATTTTTATTTCATCTTTAGAAAAGATTTTATTTTATTTATTTGACAGACAGAGATCACAAGCAGGCAGAGAGACAGGCAGAGAGAGAGGGGGGGGGAAGCAGGATCCCTGCCGAGTGGAGAGCCCAATGCGGGGCTCCATCCCAGGACCCTGAGATCATGACCTGAGCCAAAGGCAGAGGCTTATTAAACCACTGAGCCACCCAGACACCCCCAGAAATATAAATCTTAACACCATGTACATAGTGTTACCAGACCAAAATGAAGGAAGGAAACTATTCTTATAATCTATATTGGCACACCATCATCACTAATCTATTTTTTTTTCCCCTTCACTAATCTTATCTCCTCCTGGAAGACAGTATCCTATTCATTCACTCTTTAGTTCAAACATTTCAGCAACTTCATGGCAAATGGAAGCTCACATTTCCACTAAATTTCTAGTTTCAAACTTGGAACTCAAGGATGTTACAGTATTAAACTAGCTTTAACTAACTTATTGTCCCAAAAAAAAAAAAAAAAAAAAAAAAAAAGGCTATTTTATTTTAAATACGCATGTGCAGATGGGCAGACCCATTAAAAGTTATTAGCAATGATATTTATAATCAATTTCACATATAAAACTACATTTATAATGTCAAAAAACAGAAAAATTCACAACCTAATCTCTAATTCATAACTGGGCAAATCATTGAGTAGAGGTTTCCTAATTTAATTTTTTCATTAACAGTATATTATAATTCACTTTAGAAATAACACTGGTTATATGCACTGAATTAATTTCCTTCTACACCATACTCAGCTGACTCAAAGATATACCTTCTCTATCTAGAAGCAAATCTTCTGCTCTTCAGGTTAATAATTTATTGCAGAATAATAAACAGGAAATACTCTGTGCCCACTGTTATCAAATATGTAAGTTTCAACCTTGTGCAATTTTAGCTGCATATCAGTGAGAATATAACCAGCTACTTTTAATACTTTTATCTCATGAAACTTAAAATTAAACCTGAGCCTACATATTAAACATACACAAACAAAATCCAGCAAGAAATTTATAAATACTTCCAATTTTTCCATTATGTTTACCAATCAGTAAAAATTCATTATATCTAGAAGCTCAACATATTTAGAACATATTTATAATACATTCATTTACATTTATTACAAAAGCTTAATGCCGTAAGTGGAATGAGTACCATATTTAAAAGAATACTAAATTACAACTAAGATTAACTAGTTGAAGCCAGAGGGAGACTTTTCTAAATATTGAAGCTACCTCAATGTGGAATGTCTGGAATTAGCATAGTAGTGGCCTGAAGAACAATAGGAGCTCCGTTATGTTATGAGTCTATTTTTCCCACTATGCTAGAAAACAAGGGTGAGAGAGGGACTAATAAAACACTGATTTCAATGATTAAATAAAATAATGTGTCAAGTGCCTGAAACAGAGCCAGGGCTATGCAATCACTGTGGAGCTATATAAAAGACTATAGAGGGAAATAATAAAACACTTTCACTGAGATTGTAATTTACCCATTTAAAGTGTGTAACTCCATGAGTTTTCAGTATATACACAGAGCAACCATGTAACCATCAGCAGTCACTCCCCATTCCTTCACATACCCTCAGTCTTAAACAACCACTGGCCTATTTTTTGTCTCTATGGATTTGTTTCTTCCGATGTTTCATATAAATGAAATCATACAATGAGTGGCCTTTTGTGTGTAGCTTCTTTCATGTAGCATGATGTTCTCAAAATTCCTCTATATTATATGTTATCAGTACTTCATTTGTTTTTATAACCAAAAAAATGTCCCATGGTATAAATATGCCACATTTTATTTATCCATTCAGTTAATGGACATTTATTTATGTCATTTCCACTTTTTGGCCATTATGAATAGTGCTGGTATGAACATTTGTGTACAAGTTGTTGTGTGGACATGTTTTCATTTCTACTGGGTAGGTACACCTGGGTAGAACTGATATAGGTCATAAGGCAACTCTGTGTACCATTTGACCAAACTATGTATCAAAGCAGTTCTAACATTTTACTTTTTTTTTTTTTTAATATTTTGTTTATTTGTCAGAGAGAGAGAGCACAAGCAGGCAGAGTGGCAGGCAGAGGCAGAGAGAGAAGCAGGCTCCCCGCCAAGCAAGGAACCCAATGTGGGACTGGAACCCAGGACCCTGGGATCATGACCTGAGCCAAAGGCAGTTGCTTAACCAACTGAGCCATCCAGGTCAGCAATGAATGAGAATTTCAACTTATACTGGAAATGTAAGTGCCAATGTTATACTTTCAAACGATGTCACAGAAGGAAGACAATGGCTACTTCAAGAAGGGCCTTTTATTTTATTTTAAAGATTTTATTTATTTGACAGAGAGAGAGAGAAACAGCAAGAGAGGGAACACAAGCAGGAGGAGTCGGAGGGAGAAGCAGGCTCCCTGCTGAGCAGGGAGCCCAATGTGGGGGCTTGATCCCAGAACGCTGGGATCATTACCTGAGCCAAAGGCAGATGCTTAACAACTGAGCCACCCAAGCACCCCAAGAAGGGCCTTTTAGAGTGGGAGTCACTGGTTAATGCTAATATTTACACAGTGCTTACTCTGTGTAGCAAGTTTTAAGTATTACTATTTCATTAAATCTCAGGTACCATGAATTATATAACACACCATTACTTTATGTACCCTGAGAAAGAAAAATTCTACCAATTACATTATGACATGTCATCCATCGAAAGGTGTATCTTGATTTCAGAGACATTAAAACATGTGAAAAAGGGGTGCCTAGGATGGCTCAGTTGGTTAGGCATCTGCCTTCAGCTCGGGTCTGGGATAGAGCACTGATTTGGGCTCCCTGCTCCTTGGGGAGTATATGTCTCCCTCTGGCCCTCCCCCTACTCGTGCTCCCTCCCTCTCACTCTGTCACTCTCACTCTCAAATAAATAAAATTTTTTAAAAAATGTGAAAAATGTTTCACAGAATTATTACAATAATGTATACATGGATTAATTCATTTAATCTTTATAAGCAATCCTAAGTGAGGATTTTATAGATGAGGCAACTAGGGCACACAGCTTGCCTACAACTGTAAGGCCAGGGGTGCCGCGCTGGCTCAGCTGGAGCATGCAGCGATTGATCTTGCGATAGTGAGTGCGAGTCCCACAGTGGGCAGAGATTAGTGAGGAAAAAAAAAATTATTAAAGCCAGTTAAATGGCCAAAGTAGATTTGAACTTTGGTGGACTGCTCTTGTTCTTGGGGGAGTCATAGTCACTGTTTTAGAGATTATGCCCTCACTCCTTCCTCTTCAGGATCAAAAAAGTAGAGCACACTGGGCCTTACGGGATTTGGGTTCTACTTAACCTCTAAGCCTCAGGTCCCTCATTTATTAGAACTGTTAAGACTGGGGCGCTGTCCTGCATAGGGCTCCCTGCTCAGTGGGAAGCCTGCTTCTCCCTCTCCCACTCTCCCGGCTGTGTTCCCTCTCTCACTGTCTCTCTCTCTCTCTATCAAAAGAACTGTTAAGACTGTTTCACAAGTGACAGCAGCTACTGCCATTCTCTAATAGTAAAAAATGTGGTGGCTGAAAGTAGTCTCTATTGAGGGCTTTTCTTTTTTCTTCCTCCTTATTTCCATTAAAAAAGTTTTTTTAGGCTAAGAGGGCATCCTTATCTTTAAACATTTAAAATCTTCTTTTGTTAAATTTGTGGTATTCAACAATTAAAGTAGCCTCAATTATGTATGCATTCCAACGATAACATTAAAACCTAGACTGAATCCAGTGGAGGGTAACCAGGATGAGTATGAAAACTAAGTCACAGATATAAGATGATAGTTTAATAATAGTGTTATCACTAAATGGTCATTTTGAAAAATGCTTTCTTTTTTAATAATTTATTATATATAACTTTCTCAAATTTCTACAAAAAGCACAAACTAATTAAAAAAAATGTTTGTTTATTCTAGAAAGAGAGACAGCAGGAACAGGAAGGGGTGGAGGAAGAGAGAGAATCTGAAGCAGGCTCCACACCCAGCATGAAGCCTGATACAAGGCTTGATCTCACAACCCTGAGATTATGACCTGAGCCAAAATCAAGAGCTGGATGCTTAGTCAACTGAGCCATCCAGGTGCCACCAAACTGCTTTTATAATAGAGAAAAATAAAAATCAAGGAAAAAAAAAATCAACCAGCCTTAAAAGTTAGAAAAACCAGAATGTCCCTTGATGGTTGAATGGATAACGTGGCATATATGAAAAATGGAACACTATTTAACCTTAAAAAGGAATAAAATTCAGATACATGCTGAAATATGGATGAACCTTTAAGACATTATACTAAGTGAAATAAACCAGATACAAAACGACAAATATTGTGATTCCACTTAACTGAGGTACCTAATCAAATTCATACAGAGAAAGTAGAACAATGGTTAGGGAGCTGGGGCCATAGTGTAAGGGGGGGTAGTTATTTAACAGGTAAGATGAAAAAGTTCTAGAGATAGCTAGAGGTGATGATTGCACAACATGACTATATTTAATACCACTGAACTGTACACTTATAAATGGTTAAAATGATAAATTTTATGGTATGTCTACTTTGCAACAATTTAAAAGAATCAGGTGGGCATAGGAGAAAATAGATGTACATAAGATACAGAATAGACACTCCAAACCAGTAGGTGACCCAAGTGCACCCTGGAAGTTCCATTACCATGTCTATTCTTAAATGGGAACCACCAACAGGCTGAATGAATTTTCCAAGTGACTACTATCATATGCTCAAGGACACTCAAGGAGCCACAGAAAATGCAAAGATATATTAAGACATGGTCCTTCACCTGAGGGGCATAAAAGCTAGTAAAAGATACATACCCCAAATAAAACATTAATTGGTACTGTATTTGTGTTGGTACTACAGCTGACCTTTAAATGACAAGGGTTTGAACTGGTCAACTTACATTGGATTTTTTTCTGATAAGTACAGTATAGTACACTTTAAGTATATATTTTTTATGATTTTAATATTTTTTTCTCTAGCTTTCATTATAAGGATACAGTATAAAATCATATATAAAAATAATGTATTAACCGACTTTGTTATTGGTAAGGACTCTGGTTGACAATAGGTTATTAGCAGTTTAAGTTTTTGGGGAGTCAAGAGTTACATAGGGATTTTCGACTACATGGAGAGCTGTTCACAGGATCAGCTGTGTATAAGTAATATAAAATGTTATTAAAAGAGTAGAGGAACGTCACAAAACAAACTGAGGGTGGTCAGGGGAGGGGTGTAGGGAGAGAGTGTTGGGGTTATGGACATTGGGGAGGTTATGTGTTATGGTGAGTGCTATAAGTGTGTAAACCTGGCGATTCACAGACATGTACCTCTGGAGCTAATAATACATTATATGTTTATAAAAAGATAAAAAAATTATGAAAAAAAAAGAGTAGAGGAACAATTTGATGGATACAGTTTAATGTAAAGGGTGATATACTTTACTTAGACCTCAAAAAAACCCCTAAAATTTTAAATGATACAGATAATGATTCAAGTGAAAATGACAGAAAAGTATGAAATAATAAGCACCATCTACAAACAGGAAATAATCTAGGTTGGAAAATGAGACCCATGTTGTGGGTAAAGGTGGTAGAAAATTAGGATTGAAAAGATAATTGGGGTTAGGCTGTAGGAGGTTTCAAATGCCCAGCCAAGGAGTTTAGACTTTATTAACAAAGAAAGAAAAGAAACATCAAAACTTCACTTTAGGAAGATTTACAGAACAGAACCGCAAAGAATGAATACGCGTGGCAAAGACAGATTAAATAACAGGCAAAACAGGAAAGTAATAAAGCTGAAGGCCTAAACTAAAATGATAATAGCAAAAGTAAAAGATAAAGGAAGCTATTCAGTGAAAAATTAAGTTTAGGTTAGTTCCCTTTGTTATACATGACCTAGGGTATTCCATTTCCTCTTTTAATATTCATCAGTTCCAATTATTTGTTCATTAAGATTTTCTTCTGCTAGAATGTGAGCTCCGCGAAAGCAAGGACAGTGAAAGCTCCGTGAAAGCTACAGTACAGTGGCAGACAGTACTCAAATAACTACTGACTAAATTCAGAATATACTCTTTCCTTAAAAAAAAAAAAGAAAGAAAGAAAAAGAAAAAACAAAAACCATACTTCTTTGAGACAAGTATAAATCTGTATAAGGGTTCTCAAAACTTGGGAGCATTGTAAATTTTTTCAGACCTAGAATTTAAGCCACTGGCAGATGAAAATCCTATTCCTGTCTATAGCCTTACTAGCTACCTCTGAGTAAGTTTGCTTTTCATTCTAAAGTCAGCAACAAAGTTTATTTGATATTACCTGAATGCTTGTCCCTACTAAATTTTATATAGACAATAACTCAAAAAGCTGTAATCTTAATAAGCACTAACATATAAATTAAATGGGAAAAAATTTAGAAGTTCATGCACAAAAAACAGGCTTACAATACCTTAGGGGGATTAAATGGATATGTTTCTGGTATTTTTATCTCTAGCTGATATCTTCCTCCTAAAAAATGGGGAAAACAGAAAGTTAAGAATGCTGCTCACCTCAAATATTTGAAACAAAATATAGTGACATGATTTTTCAAAACACGTACTATTTTATATCCAATTTTAACAAATTCATTCTAAAGTTGAAACCCAAAAAGGAAATAATAAAAACACTAGTTAACTGAAAGTTTATTTAAAACATATAAAATAGCCATTACACAACTATATTAGTTTATCAGCAAATAAAAGAGCCTGAGATAGACAAATACATTAAATCCAAAGACAATCCAATGCTCCACTGGGACAGTTAGGTAACATACGTCCCGTCTCCTTTTGTTTCCTCTAGTCCACAGAGAAGAGCTGTTAAATAACAAAAAATACAGAAAAAAAAAAAAAAAAAAGACAAAAAGAAGGTAAGGAGGTGTAAGGGCACAGATGGTACAGAGAAAAAGGACATATGGTTATGTCATAAACTGAAAAAAATCTACCACTAGCTGGTTCTTTCAAATGTAAAAATGCCCCAAACTTTTAACTTGTACCCTCAATGAAAGGCCAACACTTGCTAAAATTTTGAAAATAAAATTCAACAATACCTGGTAGGTATAAAGACAAAAGACTATTCTCTTCTCCTCAATAGGTATACAAAAGAAAACACTTTACAAAGAGATTGTTCTAACCAGTAATATGTAAACAAAACACAACATTCTGTTTTGAAGTCATCTTGAGCAACTAGCAGCCAAATACATATTTAAAAAAACTTTATCTAGCTTCCCATAATGGGATAATTCAAGAAAAGGTAACTGCCGCTCAGGAAACTCTGAAGGGGGGGAAGCCTTCCACTGGATGAGGGGGTGGATTTGAATCCTAACTTCAAGGAACCTTCCAATCCTAACATTTTATGATCTATTAAAATAGAATACACATTATTCCAGAATGTAACAAATAAAACTGTACTACTGAAATACTATGCCTAGCATCTGCTCCAAAATAATAAAGGAATGAATTAGATCAAAGACTGGCCCTAAATTGATAGTTATTAAAGCCAGATGATAAGTAACCAAAGATTCATTATACCATTTGTCTTCTCTAGATACGTAAAACTTTCCATAATAAAAGTAAAATAAAATAAAAATTATGCACTAGCATTATTAACTTCAAAATTTCATTAATTCAGGGGCGCCTGGGTGGCTCAGTAGGTCAAGCCTCTGCCTTCGGCTCAGGTCATGATCTCAGGGTCTTTGGATCGAGCCCCGCATGGGCTCTCTGCCTGCATCTCTGCCTACTTGTGATCCCTGTCCATCAAATAAATAAATAAAAATATTTTTTAAAAATTTCATAATTCAATTTTCAGTATCACCCACATTCTCTCAAATCCATCTCCCTCCATTGTTAGGAATAGATGAATGTGGATCTGGGAGAAAAACAAAGGGGCAATTCATTTGGCAACACTTTCTTCAACCCCTTTCTGGTTCCAATTCTTCTTTTCTTGCTAATTCTTTTTAATGATATCCCATAGTGACTTATGCATGAGTTGAACTAGATGCCTGAATCACAGAGCATATGGCAAGAGTGAAATCAATATAACAGAAAGTAGTCAAAACAAACAAACAAACAAAAAACCAAGTAGGATAAGTAAGAGAAGAGTACCTGAGAAAATTCTGTGTTTATAGATAGAAGTGTTTTTGTTTAGAGTTATAAATGCCAGCTTCAAATATAGGTATAATAAATATGGCCTGAGTAAAATGTAGGTTCTTTTTCCTTCCTAAGAGTATTACTTTTTCTGTTAAATTCTAGATGACTATTTCTATAATCTTTCATATAAAGTTGTTCCTTCTTGAATGTCCAAAACAATTTCTTAGGAGCAGTGAGAGCCCAGAAATACTACATAAATAATGCTGGCCCCTAGAGTCCCCCCCTCAATCCTATTTTTACTCCACATGCTATTAATATGCTCTATTAATATGCTCTGTCTTGCATTTTTATCTGACGACTTTCAATATATAACCACCATAACATTAACCACAGCATTATGTGTTATATATATGGGTGTGTGTATGTGTATATATACACACCTACATCAGAGCAACACAACTAAGCAGGCTTTATAACTACATAATTCATATTTTAAGTTTTCACCATAAATCATTTCTTCTTAAATAGCTTTTATTATAAAAACTTTGTCATTTTTAGACTTAACTTCATTTAAAAAAGAAAATGGGGAAGGGATGAGATTTTTTAAAATACCAACAATTATTTCATAAATTCAAAACAACTCTTAGGAAGAAAGGTTCAAAAACTAAACTGTTCCTTTGCCACTATTACAGCAAAAGAAAAAAACAAGAGTTAAGTAACACGTGCAATATTGCTAATTTTCCCATGGGTATTCTACTTTTTAATCTGATTACTTTTAACACAACATAAAATAGTTTCCTCATTAATCATTATAAACAGTTTAACATTCCACATGGAAACACTTGCCTTAGTTATAGAGATTAAAAAAAACCAAAAACTCTCAAAAACCAAGAGCCCTGCAATAAATATTATCAAAATATATCTTCAAAATCTTCTTCATGTTCATCTTTCCAAAAAAATATCTTAGTTTATGCCCTTGAATAGTGCTCTTCCTAAATAAAATGAACAATTTCTCCTTAATAGTTTTAGGACAAAAAGGACACAATTTATACCCAAAAAGCATATTAAAACTAGTCTTATCGGGGCGCCTGGGTGGCTCAGTGGGTTAAGCCGCTGCCTTCGGCTCAGGTCATGACCTCAGGGTCCTGGGATCGAGTCCTGCATCGGGCTCACTGCTCAGCAGGGAGCCTGCTTCCCTCTCTCTCTCTCTCTCTCTCTCTCTCTCTCTCTCTCTGCCTGCCTCTCTGTCTACTTGTGATCTCTCTCTGTCAAATAAATAAATAAAATCTTTAAAAAAAAAAAAAAAAACTAGTCTTATCAAAACAAAAACTAGTATTATCAAACATTAATATCTCATTTAGTGGCAGCAGCAGAAACACTTAAATATGACCAAACTTGCTTCCAATTAATAAAGAATATGGTATATTTATAACTTAATTATCTACAAATGAGTATTATCCAATTTTTAAAAAATTCATCTACTTTTATTAAGGGTTTCTAAGAATGTAATGAACATTCTGCCTATTAAGTTCAGGAGGTACCTTGTTTATAAATATCCGTTTGCTGGAAGAGTTCTAGAATAATAATGCTATTGCCATACTAGCTTTTAAAAATAAAGGGGCGCCTGGGTGGCTCAGTGGGTTAAGCCGCTGCCTTCGGCTCAGGTCATGATCTCGAGGTCCTGGGATCGAGTCCCGCGTCGGGCTCTCTGCTCGGCAGGGAGCCTGCTTCCCTCTCTCTCTCTCTCTCTCTCTGCCTGCCTCTCCATCTACTTGTGATCTCTCTCTCTGTCAAATAAATAAATAAAATCTTTTAAATAAATAAATAAATAAATAAAAATACATCTAAACAGGGGCGCCTGGGTGGCTCAGTGGGTTGAGCCTCTGCCTTCGGCTCAGGTCATGGTCTCAGGGTTCTGGGATTGAGCCCCGCATTGGGCTCTCTGCTCAGCAGAGAGCCTGCTTCCACCTCTCTCTCTCTGCCTGCTTGTGATCTCTGTCAAATGAATAAATAAAGTCTTTAAAATAAATAAATAAATAAATAAATAAAAATAAAAATACATCTAAACAACCTAAAAAAGATTCAAGAATATTTATAATGCCTACCTTTAAGAAGCAAGTGTATCATTCCATACACTATCTACTATTAAGACAAGAACATGATTTCCATAAGATAACTAATGACCTTTTTTCCATCTAATGATTATCAAAAGGACTAAATGCATGGTATCCATGAAAGCATCCAGATGAGGCCTGGCATATAAGAGGCACTCAGTAAATAATACAAAACTAAATAATGTTAAGAAATGGCTCATATGGGGGCGCCTGGGTGGCTCAGTGGGTTAAAGCCTCTGCCTTCGGCTCAGGTCATGATTCCAGGGTCCTGGGATGGAGCCCCGCATCGGGCTCTCTGTTCAGCAGGGAGCCTGCTTCCCTTCTACTCTCTCTGCCTGCCTCTCCGCCTACTTGTGATCTCTGTCTAATAAATAAAATCTTAAAAACAAACAAACAAACCCTCTTTAAAAAAAAAAAAGAAATGGCTCATATGAACGATAAAACAGGAAATAAAATTTTACCATTTAAGATTTAGTAGGATATGCTAAAGACATTCTAGGGTCTTTAAAAATTTAATGAAAACTAAAATATATTAGAATACTGGGTTTTTCTGATGACTTTGGGTTAACTGTTCATTAAGGAATTATAAGACCTCGCTCAAAGTAGACATAACCACTACTTCCAATATTCAGTCAATCCTCATTTATTCAAAAGCAGAAAGTAATTAGAAACACTGGCTTTGAAGTCAAAGGCTATTAGGACTCAAATCCCAGCTGTGCCACTTAGATGTCTGACCTTAAACAAGGCACTTAATTTCTCTGAGCTTAAGTTTCTTCATTCTATGAACAGTGATAACTACTTACCTCATAAGATTTGTTTTAAGGATTAAATGAGAAAACACATGTAAAGCTCTGAAAATAAGAACTCAGTAAATGCTACTATGACTACAAATTCTGTTATGATTTCTACTAAGCATATATCTGAAGGCAAGAACCTTGGATATGCTACATAATCCAAATGAATAATATTCATTACTGAAGATTTGCCTAATGAGGAAATAAAAGGCTATGAAAAAGCTTCTTTCCTTATATTACCACCCAATTCCATAGTCTAAAGGAGCTACAGACTTAGTTTGTGAACACAAAGTTCAGCAAAGTTGCCTCCTTTCTTTTTTCTGTCTTGAAACGATCATTCAAAGCTTTCCTGAATAAAGAAAATTAAATATTTGGAATACAGCCTGTGTGAAGACATATGAATGAATAAAATACTTAATGACAAACAGGGGAGAGGAGCTTTATAAAAAAAATAAGTATTTTATCAGTCAGAAATTTAAGGCAAGATTTGTTATAGATACCATATGAAGGGTAACTGAGCATCTATAGTCCATATATTAGAGGCTTAATATGCTAGATGTTTTCTACTGTTAAATTCTAACCTATATAAATTGTAACTTGGTTCTACTAAATCTATGTTGGGAAAAGAAAAAAAATTAGCTAAAATTCAGTAAGAAAAAAATCAGTCTACAGCAATATCTAAATTTATTATTTAAATGTTGTAATATCCTAAGCCAAATGAAGTTACCTTCCATGTAATTTATAGATACTTAAGATTATTCTGATTTAATGTTTCAGGTAAGTTCTAATACGCACAATATTTTGATACAGAAAAAAGTACTTGCCTTCATATGGTGTGTCTGGAGGTCCTGCTATTTCTCCTCTTAATTCTGTAAAATTCTCATCTACAAGATCTACTTTAATTTGATTTTTGCTCGTCTTAAAAATAAACAGAAAATAAATGTTAGTTATATCAGCAAGAAAAAAGCCTATTTTAAAGTATTATCTATAAAAAAAATTTGAAACCCCCTCTTTAATAAACTTGATTATCTGCTCTAGTAAAAAATAGTAACCTATGCTTTTCTAGGATTTAATTAGCCAGTTTTAAGAATATTTTAAACCAAAAAACTAACAAATTTTCACTTCATTGTTTTTAATGAAATAACACCACTCTGAACAACAGTACAATGGCTTGTTAACTTTATTGGAATGTTTAGAGAAAAAGAGCAGACACCTATTTTATATTTGCCAACTTCATGTACGTTAGGCCCAACGTGATAAGTCTATTATTCATCTGTAGATGAACGCTGCTATACTGTACACCCCAGGTTACATGGGTTCTATCCATATAAACAGAAAACTCAGGGTCATTAAAAGCCATGTAGGGTATAAACTCTCACTTAAACTAACCACAACAGTTCTAGATGTTTAGGCTAACTAAAATACTATTCCATCCACCCAGCTGGTGAAAACTCGAAGCATCTAACTAATTTAATTTCCCTTTCCATGAAAATTCCTGAAGCCTAAAATGCCTCACTAGAATCATCTAATGCCTTGTATAATTTAAGTTGCTTAGTTTAATTCAGTGTCAACTACCTACTTTTCAAAACAGACTTATTTTAAATTTATCTACATCTATTTATTTTGCCCATTACATTTCTCAAAGTCATTTCATATCTATACTATCATTTCAATTTCTCAATCTGTTAACGGTGACCTTAAATGATGCAGAAAACCCTCCAAGGGGATTCACATTACTGTTCAAAAAGTACCTGTCTGTAAATGAGCTCTCCAACTTATACTTTGTAATCTACACTAATACCTTACTGGTCCTAAGTCTAAATTCCTAATATGGTAAACTTTCTCATTTTTTCAATTGTTAAAAACATACATCCTTAATATACAAATTATGTTTTCATTTTCTTGGTTACGATTTCATATTTTTACCTAAGTAACACAACATATCCACTCTTAAAAAAAAGCCTTGCAGGATTTCAAGAGTAAATTTTTTGCTTTCAACCCTACCTTCTTAAGCTTGTTTACTGGATGAACAATGTAAGAATTACTGTTTTAAGGTCCATGGCTTTCTCCCCCAATCTCCAACAAGTAGATAACAATTTTACTTTTTCTATAGTAAGCAGTTTATATTAATACAGAATGATAAGTACTGAAAAAATATATAACTTAAAACCCAAATTTTAAAGATTTCATATGACTTCTAATTAATCTTATCTTTTAATAATAACAAGATTTAGAAACTTTATACATTTGAAAAACATTCTAATTAGTAGGTTTATTTTTATATAACCTTTTTCTATTTTTACCTTTGTAATTAATATATTTCATTTTTTCCTGAAGTTAATTTTACCCCCAAATTAAAATTAATTACAAATATACACATGAGAAACTTCTTCCTGTGCCCTAAAAAATCATTATCATCCTTGGTATATTTGCGGTGGAGGATGAAATATACAATCTTACCAATGATAAAATACTTTGTCCAGTATGCACAGGAATTAATAATGTTAAAATGAAAATCAGGAAACCATACTTCCACTGACCAATTTAGAAGCTGCAAGTAGAACTTCCAATTCTCCCCTGAGAGTTCTAAGTAAAACAAGAGTAATCCGATCTTGCAAATCATCAACGCTTTCAAAGTTCTTTATAGCTTCCCACAATATTCCCTTTCCAAAAAGAAGTAAATAACCCTAAAATGTCGGGATACTAAAGGACATGATTAAAGTTTTGGGGAGGAAAAGAAGAGGTAAGAGAAATCAGAGAGGCTGCCTTCCAGATTGCCCCAAAATCTCAAGTTAGTAAAATGCTAAATAAACAATTACTAATTGTATTAGTATTCCTCTGTCCTCGTTTCTGTCCTCATTATCCCCAAATTATAATTAGAAGAAAACAGACTTTTTTCTCTACAGAAAGCACACTATTAATGTATGAAAAACGTACTAAATTAGCTTAAAAAAATACAATCACCATGATGAATCCATTATAAAGAAGCATGCTACATGGTCTAGACAGAGTAGGATCTTTATCTCCAGATAAGCAAAGATAAAAACAGAAAATGGATAGTTAAAGACAGATTTTTCAAAGCTTAATTTTTCCATCATGCAATAATTATCCTTTATTATCTCCACAGTTTAACGTCCAGTTACTCCACAATCCAGATTTTTGATCCCAGTGCCCCCAACAAACTAACTTAAAATCAAAGAACTGTAAGGAAGATACAGAAAATGGCAAAAGATGACAGTATTTTAAAAAGTATGCCCTTTGAAGTCTGACAGATATGAGTTGAATCCAAGTTCCGCCACTCAACTGGCATTAATTTAGGCAAGTCACTTAACATCTCTCAATTTTATTACTCTAAAATGAGAACAAAGATCTCAAATTTAATGAGAATCTTCAAGAAAGAAGCATAGCTACCCTTCCCCAATAATATTAATTTTAAAAACCTTTGATTTCAAAGCCCTACTTTATAAAATTTACTTCACAGCTCTGTTTCCAGTCTAAGAATGGAAATGTTATTTCTAAAAGTAACAAAACAATATGTTTGTTATTCATTTTAATGACCAGGAAGACTAAGGCTTTTGGATGAAGCCCTGAAGAACTGTGTTACCACTGTACTACATTTTTTGTGGCAACATCTGCAAAACTGATTTTATTTTCTTCTCCCAACTCAACTAAACACACAGTTGGACCTTTGGTAGTTCTGGTTTTTTTAATATTCCTTTGTGGCTCCAATGGGATTCTAACACATAAAAGGAAAAGACATGAATAGAAGCTACAGTTTCTAGCAAACATTTCCAAAATCAACTATTAAAACATAAAGTATGCATAACAGCACATAATGTTAAATCTTATCTAAATTGACATTACTGCCAATAAAGCAACAGTGCAGAATTTAAAGCAATTCTATTGGCTTTCCAAGGCCAAGTCTCTAGGTGAATTGATATCACAAAATTTGTCTAAATAATTCCTGGAGTCTATTATATGCCAGAAAGAAATCTCAAGTGTTAGTGAACAAAACTAAGTCCCTGCCCACTTGGAGCTTACATTCTAGTGAGAAAAACTAAAAACTGAAAGATTTTATAAGAAAAGCTCTAAGTACATTGCTATTTAACCTGTTTAAACTTACATGTGACCTCAAGCAAGTTAATTAAACACTCAACCAAAGTTTCAACCTCTGTCAACTGGGAATTATAAGAGTACTTACTATGTACAGTTCTTGGGGGAATTTAATTAATACAATATATAAAACAATGTCTGCCAAAAAGTAAATGCTAAATGTACAGTAGTCACTTAACACTGTAATATGTTGACTTTTTTTTTTTTTTTAAATATGGAACACTTCACGAATTTGCGTGTCATCCTTGCGCAGGGGCCATGCTAATCTTCTCTGTATCGTTCCAATTTTTAGTATATGTGCTGCCGAAGTGAGCACATATGTTGACTTTTGACAATGATGTAGAAGCAGAAAATTTCCACCTAAAGCAAATACTATATATATTTTTTTTAAGGACCACTTGTCGCATTACTCTCACTTATATTGATTTGGGAAGATTTATTCTAAAACAAAATTTCAATCTAAATTTCAAATTTTAAATCTAAATTACCCCTGAAAAAAAAAATAAATAAAATAAAATAAATTACCCCTGAAGTTATAGATCATTCTTATATGCTATAAAGAAACTATCATTTTGTTTCCTAGTCAAATCACAACTACCAAAATTTAGGAGCACTATCAGTATCATACAAATAAATGTGAATTTCATTCTTCCTAATTTGTTGGAAATGAGGCTTAAAAGGTTTAGGAGTTGTCATTATTTTCCCCTAAGTTAGTATGAATGACTTATTTTCCCCTACTATTCTAAGACCCCCCCAAATAAGAAAGATTTCCACTTTCCAAGCAGTTAATAAGTAAAAACTATTCTGAAGCTTGAGGCATGTCACATACCCAAAGCAGGTTGACATGGAAACTTAGAGACCAGAAGGGAACTGAAGCCATGGGAACATTTATGACCCTTACTAATAAATACAAGTTTTAGATCAGTGCTGTCCAACAGATATATAATAATATAAGCCACAGGGCACCTAGGTGGCTCAGTCAGTTAAGCATCTACCTTCGCTGGGGTCGTGATCCCAGGATATGGGGATCAAGTCCCGCATCAGGCTCTCTGCTCAGCAAGTCTGCTTCTTCCTCTGCCTCTCCCCCTACCCCCGCTCATGTTCTCCTTTTCTCTCTGTCTCACAAAAATAAACAATAAAATCTTAAAAAAGAAAAAAAAAAAAAAAGTAAGCCACAAATGTTCTTCAAAATTTTCTAGGGGCACCTTGGGTGGCTCAGATGGCTGGGCGTCTGCCTTTGGCTCGGGTTGTGATCCCAGGGTTCTGGGATCTAGCCCCACAGCAAGCCCCACATCAGGCCCCCCGCTTGACAGGGGGCCTGCTTCTCCCTCTCCCACTCCCCCTGCTTGTGTTCCCTCTCTCGCTACATGTGTCTCTGTCAAATAAATAAAATCTTTAAAAATAAATAAATAAAATTTTCTAGTAATCACACCAGAAAGAGTGAAGGAAGTACAGAAATTAACTTTAATAATATTTTATCTCCTATATATAAAATTATCATTTTAACATGTAATCAAAATAAAAAATTCTGAGATTTTTTTTTTTTTTAAACCAGTGTCTTTGGAACCCAGTGTTTAATTTACAAATCACATGCACATTTCAATTTGGACTGCCCACACTTCAAGTGTTCAAAATCCAAATGTGATAGTCAAATCTACAGATATAGAAAGTAAATTATTGGTTGTGAAGAGAGGAGAGGGAAGAAAGAGATGGGAAGGATCTGCTAATGGGTGCAAGGATTATTTTTAAGGATATGAAACATTTTAGAATTAGTGGTAACAGCTGCACAACTTTGTGAATATACT